TGAATATCGGCTAACCCACAGTCGTAAATCCTGATGTGTTGCCTACAGTCACGGCGTTGAAATGAAGTGTCTGCTGATATGTGCAGGAAACAGGATGAGAAGGGGAAGTGTGGGATTTGCGGCTGATTGGCATAGATACTGCACGTAAAATGGCTGCATACTGCCACAGATGTCGCCACATCAAGACGTACTAACAACCCAAAAGGGGAGAAACAGAACGAAGTGAATTTGGTGTGAGGCTGGGTTCGGCGTCAGAAACTGAGTTTGGCAGTTCTTGGAACATACAAAATATTCTGAAGTAGAACTTTTTAAATAACTTTGTTATCTTCTGAGACCTGATGCCGTTTGTTGAAAGTCAACCGACACTTCGGAGTAACATCGCCTCATTTTCATGGTTGAAGGGTAAGCCAAACAAGAAACCACAGGCATTCGGATGTATAACGGATTCATACGACTGAAGTAAAATGGAGACTGTTCAAGCCTGTGGCTGGTTTAAGGAGTGATGATACAAGGGGTTTGGATTCGTAATCGGGTTTATTGTACTCTTAGATACGCAACTTGTAACTACACTTTACATATCACTATCACACACAGACTGTTGTTTACAGTCACGGTCTTCACTGCGTTGCTCGGTAGCGGCTTCCAACAGTGGAGCGTCCTCGGCTTCCATGTCCGGTTCCCGGCTGGAACCTTTCAGCTGCAGCTCCCAAGCTGAACTGACGAGACTTAATATTTTAAGGTGCATGCTAAACTAAGCTAAGCTAAGCTAAGCTAAGCTAAGCTAAGCTATCCCTGTAACAGGCCGTGAAGGCCCATTGGGTTGTGAGACGTTGAGGGTCTCACATTCTCTAGACAATCGGCTCACAGATGGCAGTAAGGTCAGCTTTACGCCCCGGCCGCTCTTTCCTCCCCAGGAAGATTCCTGGTACTTATTTCTGTTAAAGGCTGATTCGACCCAAGGGCCATAGTGCGGCTGGAAGGATTAGGTCAACTGAAAACATCCATCTCATCGGGACTCCTACCCGCGACCATCCGGTTTGTAGCATAGTGCCTCAACCAACTACGCTACCGCGTGCCCAATTACATGCAAGCTCCTTTTAAAAAAATACAAAATTTTAATAGAACTATACGCAATAACATAGATACCAATATGGGACTCAGACGAGATCCCGTGGAGGGTCAAATAAGCACGCAGACGGACGAATACAATCCCTCCCCTACGGGCCCATGTCGTTCACTTCTAAAAATTATCGTAATAAGCATTTACACATTCAAGCAGCTTACAACTCGTCGCTCCCTTCCGTTAAAATAATACAGGGTGTTCAATCAAGGAGGAAACTTCGCAACACCGTTAACCAGGCCCAATATTCCTCACAGATTGCTGCTGTAACTGTAACAGCGCGTATTTATCAGCGCTAATGACTCATTCTGCTATCAGCATTTACAGTAGCAATCTGTGAGGAATGTTGGGACGGGTCAGCGGTGTTGCGAAGTTTCCTCCTTAACTGAACGCACTGTACTTGTAGATGTATCAGCCATATTGCCTATCCCAATTTAAACATTCCATAGAGACGCTACCAAAAAGAGTACAAATACACCGTATTAACAAGACAAAAGAAATCATGACAGGAAATGTGCATCAGAGAAGACAGTGCTAATCAGTTCTAGAGAATCTTTTCCTTTTCTGTCATTCTTCTGCTCAAGTTTTGCTTCGTAACTTTTCCTTCCGTTATTCCCTTCAATTTCATTATCTTCTCCATAAGACCGCTTCCTTTACTGAGAATTTCCAATTTAATCAGAAGCTGAAAGTCACACACTGTAATGCTTTATATATGAGTATGTTTACTTTTTGTAATAAAACTTCTTCATAAAAATTATCTTCAACACAGTTTCTATACACATGCAATACATCTTCCCCTCCAGTTATGAGATCACTAGTGTAGTTCTCCCCTGTTCTCCTTCAACCCTCCCTTTCATCCCTTAATTTCTTTTCAACTCAGTCTAGAAATTCAATTAATGATAAATCAGCTTGTTAAGAGTCAAATCAAAGATCTTATGAAATCCTTCTTGACTTGAAATAAGAGAAGAGAGAAGCCATCTTGTTTTATCTGCTGCGTGACACTGTCATGAAACATTGATGGAAACTGCTACCAGAAGATGGTGATGTGAGCGAGGAAGCAGTGGAGGTATTCCTCCAGCAAAGACTGTTCTTCTTGAATAAAATAATGAAATGCATGTCATGAGTAGAGACAGCTCAAGCTGGACGAACGGGATTCGATTCCTAGCAAGTCACAGACCCGTTACCACTTTGCCTTGAACGTTTCTAGGATACTCTCGTCCTCATGACGAATTGTGTATTTAGATTAGTTGTTAAACGGAATTGTGTTTCAAAGGTAATTAATCTGTTAACCTTCGGATGCATGCAAAAATATTATTGATATGACAGATATCTGTGACTTAGACAGAAACGAATATCTTAATAGTATGCATCCTGTTGTGTGTTACTGGGGTACCCAGTATAAGGGTCGAAACATATAGCGTCAATAAAAACAAATGTTGAGGATAATTGAGGCGCTATTTCAAGGAAATAACGGTTCCGGTCTAGAAAACCGAGATTAACAGCCGTGAGGATTCACTGAGCTGACCACGCGACACCCTTTTAAATACAGAATATTGTTGTATAGACCGCATACTTTTGTATACATTGTATGTACCTTGAAACAAGTATATTGAAGGTCGAGGAATATGTCGGATCTGAGGTCCTCACGGCTATGACTGGCTACAGTGTGACGCTGTGAATTCTGGTACATATTTACCAACGTTTCGGAGGAACTTGCTGCCTCAATCTTCATTACATTTGTAGGTGAGATTTGAAGACTTCACGACGGTCTCGGATATGACAGCCTCCGTTTCACAGGAACTTGCTGCCTTCATAACACTTTTATGTGAGATCTCAAGATCTCTCAGGGGTCATTATGAAGACCGCTGTCTTACATTTCAGTCCTAAAGTTCGTGGCACTAGGATCCCGTAAACGTTGCTTAATATCTACCAGACTACACGGTATCATATCTCAGAAATCAGTAATATTTAAGACCTCTGTTGTTTTGTGTTTCATATATTTTCTTGTGTTTAATAGTTTTACTTAATTTCCTATCTATAAAGTAACATTTGGGGCAGGCTTATCGTAGTTGGTTGAGGCACTTTGCTACAAGCCGCAAGGTCAGGGTTCGAGTCCCGATAAAGTGGATTTTTTTCAATTGACCCAATCCATCCAGCCGCACTATGGCCCTGGGGTCGACTCAGCCTCTAAAGGCCCGTCCACATTACTCGCGCTCGTGCGTCAGAAGCTTACTGCTGCCGGAAAATCAGGATCTGGAGCTGATATCTGTTGTGAAGAAATGCGAAAGCTTTGTATGCAAACCAGTTTGGGCGTCCACTTCGTCAGTTCCAGATCCTGATTTTCCGGCAGCAGTAAGCTTCTGACGCAGCAGCACGAGTAATGTGGACGGGCCTTAACAGAAATGAGTACCAGGAATCTTTCTATGGGGTAAAGGGCGACCGGCGCGTAAGGCTGACGTCACCGCTATCTGTGAGCCGAATGTCTACAAAATATGGGAGCCTCGACGTCTCACTTTACAGGGAGAGCTTTACTGTTTTTTTAGAAAGTACCATACACAATTGTTGTGCTTAAGATTACGAGCTTGTGCGATGTGACGCCGTGTAGCCTGGCATGCAGGTACATAGGTTACCTAGTAATATGCTTCCCTCGACACACTGCCGCCTGTCCGTCAGCCTACAGATCGTCACATTCCCGACGACAAATCTTGCAGCAAATGCAGCATAATTGTGTGCGCGTCTACAAACAACGAAACCCCTTCCAAGACTCAATCTTGTTTGCCACGGAAAAAGCCCCACGAAAGACAAAGCTATAAGCTAGTACCGTTACGTCCCCTATAATTATAACATCCCTCTATTTTCTTACCCCCGATCTGCTTTCCCTCCTTTGAACCCTTTCTTGCCACCGTAAGACGTTTAATTACAGCCTCCTGCCTCTGTTCTGCCGCCACTTGCCAAGAACGGGATTTCTCTTTTAGTGAGTAACAAAAGGAAGACGAACTACAAATCGTTCTAAAACAATCAGGACAAACAAAGCTTCTTCCTCTTGGCGCAGACAGCAGCACTGCAGAGTAAGTGAAACCTAATCAGAACCACATTGATGCCAACGCGTTTACATGTTTGTGGAATGCCTCACGTTGGGACGTACGTCTGATAAGAAAATATGGAGAAAGCCATCTTCTGGGATGTGGCGCCGTGTAGACATTGTGTTAACCGACGTTTCGGAGGAACGTCGGTTAACACAATATTTACACGGCGTCACATCCCCAGAAAACGGCATTCTTCATAGTCACCGCCGTGAAAACTTAAAATGTTACAAGAAGATATGGGTCCTGGATTTTAGGATAAGATAAGATTAGGACGAAAAGGGAGCTCAAGGGAATATCAGGATCTGAACCAGAGATGAAGTAAGAAAAATATGGAGAGCACTGCATGACGATTGGTTTCGTAGTCTCCATATCTGCCGAATTACACGGTACCGCAACTCACAGAACTTTCATTTTTCTTCTGCTGTCCCTGTGCTTAATTATATAACCACCACGCCATCGAGGCGTATGAGGGAGCAGAGGAAAAGTTCTACCATTCTTGACCTCGGTACTAAATAGAGGTAAGTGGTCAGCTTCGCGCTCCGGCAACTTTACCCCCTGCACCCATGGCATGGAGGTTGGTTGGGCCGCAGAGGCGGTTGGCGTGCTGTTTGGTATAAAACAATCTCTTGTCCTTGCCGGTAATCGAATCCCTGCCGACCAGCCCAAAGCCCTTCGCCATACAGACTGAGCTATCCCCCCTCGGTAGAGAACTGCATTCGGTAATACAATCCGAAAGTAGGCATCATACTTTCAGCAAAATAGTGGGGTAACTGCTGTAATTAACGTTGTCTTACCTGTTCTCCATTGGGACTTGGAGCTGTCCAGTTCGCTAGACCGGCACCAAAACTGTGAGGTCTTCTCTTGTTGACGAAATCGACTGGTAAACTGTACTCGTCACACAAAGACACCTGCAGAAGACAGAAAAATGCAACTTTGTTGTGATGCGATCTATAGAGGACCCTTACGACTAACTGTAGGACACATACCCTTTAAAAACTGAACTTATTGTCAATACACAAGAAAACTCAGTACGTACCTCACAGGAAACATATTACGTGTCCGCTACAAAGACCGACCGGTTAATGCTGTTTAGATAAAAACGGTTGTTTGTTATGAAAAGCATACGAAACACAAAAACGCATTCTGCAGAGTTTTAGTACGTTAAAGTTGGTGGTATACTGGACTTTAAAGTGTGAAACCTTGCTTGAATATCAATTTCCAGTTTGTGATGCTCTGTGAAAGAACACAGAGTATGCACGTGTTTCATCGACCGAAAACAGGAACAACAGAAAAAGTGATAAGAAATCACTTTTTTCCTTTGGCGTTAGAGCCCCAATTTCGGCCTTGGCCTACCTCCATGAAACTTTCCGTTTCACATCCGTTTTCTAGATCTTACACATTCGGTAGGACTCCTTGGGCGGGTGATCAGCTCGTCGCAAGGCCTCTACCTGTACACAAACACAGAAAAACGCACACACACACACAAAATATACATCCACGCT